TGTATGTGTGGTGTGTGTGTGTGTGGTGTGTGTGTGTGGTGTGTGTGATGTGTGTATGTGTGTGTGTGGTGTGTGGTGTGTGTGTGGTGTGTATGTGTGGTGTGTGTGTGTGTGGTGTGTGTGTGTGTGTGTGTGTGTGTGTGTGTGTGTGTGCGCGCGCATGCGTGCTAGTGCTAGGGTTTGAACTCAGAGCCTTTTATTCTCACGGGGCTTTGTCACCCAAGGCTGGTACTCTAACCCTTGAGCCACACCTTCCCTTTTTGCTGTTTAATTAGAGATAAGAATCTCTCAGATTTGTTTGCCCAGGCTAACTCTGAATATAATTCTCAGCTCTCAGTCCACGGGTATGATCCACCAGCACCTGGTTTGGGGCCTTTTTTTTTTTTTTTTTCCAGTTGTGGCCTGAAGTCTGGGCGCTGTCCCTCAGCTCTTCAGCTCAAGGCTAGTGCTCTACCACTTGAGCCACAGCGCCACTTCTGGCTTTTTCTGCTAGGTGGTGCTGAGGAATTGAACCCAGGGCCTCATGCACGCAAGGCAAGCACTCTACTATTGAACCACCTCCCCAGCCCTGGGCCTTTTTTTTTAAATGGTGTTGACATATAGTAAGTGCTATTCACTTAGCAACCCTAGCAGAAAAGGAGCACCTTTTTCTTCTTCTTTTGCTGGAAAGTCCATAGCCTAATTTCCATGGGTCTGATATGATCCCAGATATTCCTAAGCCATGCAGTGAGTGTGAGGTCTGGCCTGCCTGTGGATGAGGTTTGGTCAATTGAGACCAGAGGGTAGAGGGAGAAATGTTCTTCCCAGGAGGAAGGGTAGATGGTGGACTGTCAGAATCCACAGAAGTCTAGGAGATACATTTCACCCAGTGGGGTGGAGACCAGGTAGGCCTGTCTACATATATACTTGTCTAGAGGAACTCTGCACAAAGCCAGGACAGCTCATGTTCAGTGGGGCAGAGCTTCTCCCCAGAACCCAGCACAGGGTGAGGCATGGAAGTTGGTGAATGACATTGATAAACAGCAGGGAAACAAAGCAGCAAGTGGGTCCGTGTTGCTTTAGCCTGGTGCCTTTTTTCCAGCCCAAGTTTCTTCCTCTTGCTAATGCTGTTTTCTGTTTGCAGCTCTTATTAAAGGTGCTGGAAGTGCTTGATCCTGAGAGGAAGCTGCAGGAAACCTGGGCTTATTGTCAGGATGCCAGGGAAAGGATGGAGGAACCCACAAAACTCTTTTTAAAACATTCTACCCAAATGGACCCAGGACTGTGAGTGTTCTTTTTTTTTTTTTTTTGGTCGGTTGTGGGGCTTGAACTCTGGACTTGGGTGCTGTGCCTCAGCTCTTCAGCTCAAGGCGAGCGCTCTACTGCTTGAGCCACAGTGCCACTTCCGGTTTTCTAGTGGTTTATTGGCGATGAGTCTCACAGACTTTCCTGCCTGGGCTGCCTTTGAACCAGGATCCTCAGATCTCAGCCTCCTGAGTAGCTAGGATGACAGGCATGAGCCACCAGCACCCGGCCTGTGAGTGTTCTTAATGCCTTACTCCTGGCTATTATGTAGGAACATTATAGAATTTCCTTTTCCTCATCTTCAAAATAATATTAAAGAAAAAAAGAAAAGTGGGGGTTCTGAATGTTACTTATTTGTTAAATGGATTCTATTTATCTTGGAACAGAGCAAATCTAGGTGCTCATCTGAGTCTGGTTTGGCAGGAAAGAAACTGCAGAAGATCTCTTAAATTGGTATAGAATATCTCTTGAATAATCTATGGGAGAAACCCATTTATTCAACAGTGGTTGGTTGGCAGTAGTTGGTTGGATAATCACAAAAAATTTTAAAATACAAGGAAATACAGAAAATGATACATATTTAATTGAAATATTTAATTTTATTTATCCTAAAGCATAAGTACTTGGAAGGTTTTTCCTTTTTCTGGAACTAGGGTTTGAAGTCAGGATCTTCTGCTTTCCTGGCTGGTACTCCACCACTTGAACTACATCTCCAGTTTTTGTTTTTTGTTTTTCTGGTTATTTTGGAGATGGAGTCTGTTGGACTTCTCTGCCAGCCCTGGCTTTGAATCTCTACATGGCCAGGTCTCAGCCTTCTGAGTAGCTAGGATTATAGGAGTGAGTCACCAGTACCTGGCTCACTTGCTAGTTTTTAACTGGAAAGCCTTGAGGGTCTACTGCTTGGAGCTTATGTTCACCTTTCTTGCATAGAGCACACCAGTAAAGTCCCCTTCTCTGGATATTTCCAAAGCCCTGTGCTTAGTAGAAGCATCTCTGTTTTATAGCACAGTCTTGTTTTCAAATTCACATATTATTTAAATAGTATAAATGCTGGATATAAATAGATTTAATTTTTGGGGTGTTGCAGAATGGGGTGAGCTAGAAAGTAGCTTAACTGTAGTACCCTGAATGAAAGTTGATAGGAGCAGGACTCTGGTCAGCTTTTTGGGAAGGGCTCTGCAGAGCTTTATGAGTCACATGATCTGTCTACATGGAGATGAACTAAAAGAAAATCCACTCTATTAAATTATCCATGCTTTCCAGGCACCAGTGCTCATACCTCTAACCGTAGCTAGTTAGGAGGTTGGAGATCTGAGGATTGTTGTTTGAAAGCCGTCCAGGCAGGACAATTTGTGAGGCTTATATACAATTAACCACCAAAAAGCCAGAAGTGGAGTTGTGGTTCAATAGAGTGCTACCCTTGAGCAAAAAGGCCAAATGAGAGCTAGAGGACCTGAGTTCAAGCCTCAGTATCAGCACACACACACACACACACACACACACACACACACACACACACACGACTAAATTATATGTGCTTGGTGAGAACTAAGGAGACAGAACTCTTTTGTAGTGACATTCCTGCCCTTTCAGTGTGCTTCCTGGTAAATTTGGGCAGAACAGCTTCTCATTTCAGTTTTATTTTTGCATTGTAGGGCAAGAGGCCAGGTAACGCATGAGTTCCTCTATTCCTCCACTTTAGAGGGTATCTGCTGTAGTCCAGTCTGTAGGGGAGGGATAGGAGAGTTCATAGTGTTGGGGTTTTAGGTAACAATTGTCTTGAACCTACAGCCAACTCTACAACATAGCTGTTGCTAGTGACAAAAGTGACATTTTGGCTGGGTGTAGGTGGCTCACACCTGTAATCTTAGCTTCTCAGGAAGTTGAGATCTGAGGATCACAGTTCAAAGCCAGCCTGGGCAGGAGAGTCCATGAGACTCTTTTTTTTTTTTTTTTGGTTGGTTGGTCGTGGGGCTTGAACTCTGGGCCTGGGCGCTGTCCCTCAGCTCTTCAGCTCAAGGCTAGCGCTCCACCGCTTGAGCCACAGCACTACTTCCAGTTTTCTGGTGGTTTATTGGAGATAGGAGTCTCACGGTCTCTCCTGCCCGGGCTGGCTTTGAACCGCGATCCTCAGATCTCAGCCTCCTGAGTAGCTAGGATTACAGGCGTGAGCCACCAGCGCTCGGCATGAGACTCTTATCTCCAATAAACTACTCAGAAAAATCTGGAAATGTTGCTGTGGTAGAGTGCTAGCCTTGAGCACAGAGAGGCTCAGGGACAGAGCCCAGACCCTGAGCTCAAGTTCCAGGACCAGGAAATAAAAGGGACACTTTGGCTTTGTGTTCATACTTTTTTTTTCAAGTTGCCTCCAACCTAGGTGAGGAAGAGAGAGGAATGTTTAATGTAGAGATTTGTGGTGTAATAAATATCTACATATACATATGTGATATGTAATGTACTAATATATTTATATATGTGTATGTATATATGATCCTCCTTTCACCTTTGGCAGTTTCTTTGGTTAAGCCTACAAAAATCTCCAAGGCAAGAAGTTACAAATGAATGGGTTATCTGTTAAAAGAGGAGAGTATTCATATATTAATGAATTATGTCACAACATAAATGTGTACTTATGTAATGCTAAGTTTTTTTATTATATTTTTATTGTAAAGATACTGTACAGAGGGGTTATAGTTACATGGATAAGGTAATGAGTACATTTTCTCTTGAACATTGTTACCCCCTCCTTTGTTTTTCCCCAGCCATCCCTTTCCTCCCCCCCCTCCCCAACTCCTCCTTTCTTCTCCCCCACCCCCTAACCCCTGAAGTTGTAGAGTTTATTTTGAACATAGTGTCTTGTACATCTCATTGTTACAATGAGTCAGCCTGTATCCTTGTTTGAACATTTTCTTATTTCCCTTCCCCAAATTAGGAAAATGTATATACAAGATGCAGGACACCGGAATCAAATCAGTGAAAACCGTGGTGGTTATACCATGGGGGAAGAACAAATGAAAAAAAAGAAATCACACAGTACATTATAAGTCCATTAAAAACAGCAACAAAGATAAAATCTTGTGTGTTTCTATCTTTGGGTTCATTTCCCTTACTACCATTTTATATGGCCATATATGCATAGCTTTTGACCTTTTCTACCTGTCTGGTAAGATTCTCCTTAGACATATACTAGTTATTGCAAATAAGGGAAACCATGGGACCCATGTTTCTTTGGGTCTGGCTTACTTCATTCAGTATAATTTTTTCCCAAGGATCTAGCTTTACTTTTCTACAGGTGTTTAACCAATTTTGCCAGCACCATTTATTGAAGAGGCTGTCTTTCTTCCATTCTATTTTTTAGCTTCCTTGTTGAAGATTAGGTGGCTATGGATCTGTAGGTTCATTTTTGGGTCTTCAGTCCTATTCCATTGGTCTTCAGGTCTGTTCTTGTGCCCATACTAAGCTGTTTTGATTACTATGGCTTTGTAGTAGAGTTTGAAATTTGATATTGATATTCCTCCAGCACTGTTCTTTCTGTTAAGAATTTTTTTTGCTATTCAGGGTCTTTTATTGTTCCATATGAATTTTTTAGATTGCTTCTTCTATTTCATTGAGGAATGAGGTTGGGATATTGATAGATATCACACTGAATTTTCAGATAGCCTTTGGCAGTATTGCCATTTTCACAATGTTGATCCTCCCAATCCAGGAGTTTGGGAGGTTTTTCCACTTCCTTAGTTTTGCTTTAATTTCCTTTTTCAGGCTTTTAAAGTTTTCGTCATAGGGGCTGGGAAGGTGGCTAAGTGGCTAAGTAGAGCGCTTGCATTGCATGCATGAGACCCTGGATTTGATTCCTCAGTACCACATAGGAAAAGTTGGAAATGGTGCTGTGGTTCAAGTGTTAGAGCACTAGCCTTGAGCTGAAGAGCTGATGGACAGCACCCAGGCCCAGAGTTCAGGCCCCATGACTGGCCAAATAATAAAAATAAAAATAATTTTTTTGTCATAGAGGTCTTTCACTTCTCTGGTTGTCTCCTACATATCTTATTTTTTTGTGGGGCTATTACAAAAGGAGTTGCATTCCTGATTTCAGCAGCACTCTTCTCCTTGTTGGCACAGAAGAGCCATTGGTTTTTGAGGGTTAATTTTATACCCTGCTACTTTGCCAAAGTTTCGAATCAGCTCCAGTAACTTGGGAGTGGAGTCCATGTGGTTCTTTAAATACAAGATCATGTCATCTGCAAAGAGGGGGAGTTTTACTTCATCTTTCCTTATTTGGATCCCCATTATGGTTGCATCTTGACTTATTGCTGTAGCTAGGCATTCTAATACTAGATTGAAGAGAAGTGGAGAGAGTGGACAACCTTGTCTTGTTTCTGAATTGAGAGGAAATGGCTTTAGCTTTTTGCCATTAAGTATAATGCTGGCTGTAGGTTTGTCATATACAGCCTTTATTATATTGAGGAATGTTCCATGGATTTCTAATTTTTCCAGAGCTTTCATCATAAAGTGGTGTTGGATCTTGTCAAATGCTTTTTATGCATCTATTGAGATAACCATGTGGCTCTTATCTTGCTTTTGTTGATGTGATTAATTATATTCATTGATTTGCATATATTGAACCAGCTTTGCATCCCTGAGATGAATCCTGTTTGATCATAGTGTATGATTTTTTTTTGTTGAATTGTTGAAGTCAATTGGCCAGAATTTTATTGAGAAGTTTTGAATTGATGTTCATCAAAGAAATGGGTCTAGGGCTGGGAAGGTGGCTCAGTGGTAGAGCGCTTGCCTTGCATGCCTGAGGCCCTGAGTTCGATTCCTCAGCACCACATAAGCAAAAAGAAAAAAGCCAGAAGTGGCGCTGTGGCTCAAGTGGTAGAGCGCTAGCCTTGAGCTGAAGAGCTGAGGGACAGTGCCCAGGCCCAGAGTTCAGGCCCCACGACCGGACCCCCCAAAAAAAAAAGAAATGGGTCTATAGTTCTCTGTCTTTGATGAGTCCCTGCCTAGTTTGGGATGAGGGTTATGATGGCTTCATAGAAAGAGTTTGGTAGTAACTTTCACTTTCAATTTCATTGAAGAGTTGGAGGAGTATTGGTGTGAGTTCTGCTTTGAAGGTCTTGCAGAATTAAGTTGTAAATCCATCCAGTCCTGGATGGGAGTGCTTTTATTGCTGCTTCTATTTCGATGCTTGATATGGGTCTGTTAAGTTGTTTTAAATCATCTTGGTTTAGTTTGGGAATGTCAATATTTGCTAGAAATTCTTCCATTTCTGGGGCTGGGAAGGTGGCTCAGTGGTAGAGCGCTTGCCTTGCATGCTCGAGGCCCTGGGTTCGATTCCTCAGCACCACATAAGCAAAAAGAAAAAAGCCGGAAGTGGCACTGTGGCTCAAGTGGTAGAGCGCTAGCCTTGAGCTGAAGAGCTGAGGGACAGCGCCTAGGCCCAGAGTTCAGGCCCCACGACTGGACCCAAAAAAATAAAAAAAATAAAAATAAAAAAAAAGAAATTCTTCCATTTCTTCTAGATTCTCAAACTTATTAGCATAAAGGTTTGAGAAATATACCCTTTTTTTTTTTGGATCCGGTCATGGGGCTTAAACTCTGGACCTGGGCGCTGTCCCTCAGCTCTTCAGCTCAAGGCTAGCGCTCTACCACTTGAGCCACAGCGCCACTTCCGGCTATTTTCTTTTGGCTTATGTGGTGCTGAGGAATCGAACCCAGGGCCTCAGGCATGCAAGGAAAGCGCTCTACCACTGAGCCACCTTCCCAGCCCGAGAAATATACCCTTATTATGTTCTGAATCTTGGTTGTTTCTGTGGTGATGCTTTGTAATGGTAAGTTTTTTTCTGTGTTGGTCTCCTTTGATTATTGTGCAAACAACACAAACTCGCTGGCTTAAAATTTTATTATGTCTCAGCTCTGGAAGTCCGAAGGCTGAACTCAGTATCACTGAGCTGAAATCAGAGTTGGCAGAGCCATCTTTCCATCAGAATATCTAGGGGAGAATTAATCACTCACCTCCTCGAGCTCCTGATGGCTGCTCACATTCCTTGGCTTGTAGCCACAGCACTCCAGTCATCAGGCCCAGCAACTTTATGTCACTGTCTCCTCTGTCTTCATATTGCTTTCCCCATCTATGTGGTCTTCCTCTGCCTCTTTCCTATGAGGACACTTAGAACCTCATTGAAGGCCCACTTAAATAATCCAAGGTAATCTCCCCATCTCAAAAGCTTTAACTAAATCATACCTGCAAAGACTCTTTCCAAATAAAGGAACACTTAGAGTTCCAAGGATTAGCGTTTGATCTCTCTGGCAGCCATTATGAGCCTACTACAGCATGAGGTAATACCTCTCTTCTCCATCACATAGTCTCTCCTTACCTTAGGATAAAATCCCTTTTAAAAGTGTCAGTCCTTCCAACTTCACTCTTTCTTTCTTTCTTTTTTTTGGGGGGGGGGTCCGGTCGTGGGGCCTGAACTCTGGGCCTGGGCACTGTCCCTCAGCTCTTCAGCTCAAGTTTAGAGCTCTACCACTTGAGTCACAGCGCCACTTTTGGCTTTTTTCTTTTTTGCTTACGTGATGCTGAGGAAACAAACCCAGGGCCTCATGCATGCAAGGCAAGCGCTCTACCACTGAGCCACCTTCCCAGCCCCCCAACCTCACTCTTTCTCAGTGGCCTTGGCCTTGGTTAAGGTCATTGTTGGTGTCCACATTACCAAAGCTGTTTCCCTCATGCATCATATGCAATGTATTAACAACATGAACACAATTGATGTCTCTTTCTCATAGTACTATCTTCATTTGGCTTCTGAAATATTCATTTTTGTTGGTTTTCCTCCTGCCTCCTCATCTTCCTTCTGATCTCTGTTCTCTGCCTTTAAAGCCTTACAGTGCTTCAGTTTCTGCCATCTTGTCTGTACATTCATGCACATCAGAATGACCTTGACTGGACCACCTACATTTGGACAAATCAGCCTTCATCTTTGAGTGTAGAATCAGCCTTCATCTTTGAGTGTAGAATCGGCAGCTCAGATTGGACAAGTCCTAAACTTGGGAGTATTGGGGTGTGAACTTAGGACCTGCTTGTCAAGCAGATGCTCTACCACTTAAGGCCAGCCTTCCTGCCTGTTTTTGCATTTGCTACTTTTGGAACAGGGACTTGCTTTTTGCCTGAACTGGCCTAGACTGTGATCCCCCTATTCACACTTCCCATGTAGTTGATATGAAAGGCATGTGTCATGATGTTCAACTTTTACTTGATTGAATTGAAGTCTTGCAAAACTTTATTTAGGATGTCTTGAACTGTGATCCTCTTGATTGCCACCTCTGAGTTTAGCTGGGATTACAGACACTAGCCATCATGCCTAACCCTAAATGGAACTTTGATTTCTTCTTGAAATCTATTTCTTGTTCTGTCTTTCCTTGCTCAGTAAATAGCAACTCCATTCTTTCAGTTGGTCTTAGAACAATCTGACCACAGATTGTAATGATTTTGTGTTTGTAGCCTAAGGTCTAACCTCTCTACTACTACTAGTCCATTCCAAGATACCAGCATCTTCTGCCTGGATTATTCTAGTAGCTTACTAACTGATTATGGCCTCCACCCCGGCTCTCCTCTTTTAAGTCTACTTGTCATTTGCTAAAATACTTAAATAGTGTCATTCCTGTGCTCAAATTTTTCCCATTGCTTCCTTATTCTGACTAAAAACCCCAGTATCCTATCTCCAAGTATACTGGACTACAGTTGTGAGCCATTGTGCTGGCTTCAGAATTTAGAAATGGTATATTTTCCTCTAAATCTATAAAATAACATTTATCAAATAAAAAAAGAAATGGTAAATTTTATGACTATACTGGCAGACAAATTGATCTAAGGTGTGTGTGTGTGTGTGTGTGTGTGTGTGTGTGTGTGTGTGTGTGTGTCTATGTGTCTGTGTGTCTGTGTGTGTCTGTGTGTGCCAGTTATAGGTCTTGAACTCAGGGCCTGGGTACTGTCCTTGAGATTCTTGTGCTCAAAGGTAGTGCTCTACCACTTGAGCCACAGCTCCACTTCTGGCTATTTGGTAGTTTAGAGGAGATAAGAGTCTAATAGACTGTCCTGCCTAGATTGGCTTTGAACTCTGATCCTCAGATCTCAGCCTCCTGAGTAGCTAGAATTACAGACATGAGACTTTGGTGCCTGGCTCTAAGTTTTTTAAAAAGTCATTATTTGAGGAGGCTAAATATAGTGAAGTGTAATGAATTTGTGCTCACTGGAGAAAATAGACTGGGAAGTGGAGACAGAGGAAATATCCAGAAAAAGTAATGAGGAACCTTTTGCTATAGTCCAGAGGGAAAAAATTTCTAAAATCAGCAAGTGCAAGCAGCTCACACTTATAATCCTAGCTGCTGAGGAAACTGAGATTAGGGGACTGCCATGCTTGACTTGTTTGTTAAGATAGGGTTTTGCTAACCTTTGGCCTGGACTGGCTTTAATCTTCAAGCCTCCTATTTTCTGCCTCCAAAGTACTAGATTTAGAGATAAGTGCCAATGTACCCAAACCAGAATATAATCTTTGAAAAATTAAAATACAGTTTGTAAAGGTTTGTAAGAGACTGCTAGAGATCTTTGCTTTAAGATCTCCTTTTTCCAGGGTATGGATTGGAATCTACCTCAGTTCATTGTGTTTCATATTGTAATTCTTTGTACTGTCATCACTTTTAGTTCCAACAAGGCTCCCGTGTTGCTTCCAGGGCAGTGGCTTTATAGAGAAAAGCCACATGAAATGGGTTTGGTCCATGAAGACGGTCCTCGTGTTCACAAAAACGTCCTCAAAGGAGTCAGAGACTTCTGCAACTGGACCACAACTTTGGTAAGTTACTAGCAGTACATCTACCTGCTATTGAAAGTCAGGCTCAAAAGTGGTTAAAAAAAAAAAACAGTGCATGAATAAAATCAGTTGAATCATCAGAGTCATGAAAGAATTAGTCGCTCCCATCACTTATAATAGAAATGTTTCTAGTGGATGAAATTTCTGGAAAGTTTGCAAGCTTGAAGCTAGTTTGAATATTTGATTGTATCTTATAACATGGTTGCTTCATATTTTAATTTTCTTTCTTTCTTTCTTTCTTCCTTTTTGCCAGTAGTGGGGTTTGAACTCAGGACCTTGTACTTGCCAAAAATGGTGATTTACCACTTGAGCCACACCTCCATCCCTTTATAGTATAATTTTCTATGTTACTACTATGTTTTCTTTTTCCTACTCCAATTCATGTTTATCAGTTTACTTAGCTATAAATACCTAGGCAGCTATGCTTTTGGTTTAGTTGTCCAATCTTTTCCTTGCCCTTTTTTCAAACGGATTATCTATCTATCTATCTGTCTGTCTGTCTGTCTGTCTACCTACCTATATATCTATTATCTATTTTTGCTGGTACTAGAGTTTGAACTCAGGGCCTCAAGCTTGCTCAGCTTGCTCAGCTGCCAGTGCTCTGCCACTTTAGCTGCACCTTCAGCTCACTTCTAAGAAACCATTTGGTTACTTTTTCCTGTTTCTGAATCTCCTAGATGTTTAGGTTCCTGATGCTGTTCCTTGATTTAAGAACTTCTGACAGGGGCTGGGAAGGTGGCTCAGTGGTAGAGAGCTTGCCTTGCATGCATAAGGCCCTGGGTTCGATTCCTTAGCACCACATAAGCAGAAAAAAGAGCCGGAAGTGGCGCTGTGGCTCAAGTGGTAGAGAAGTAGCTTTGAGCTGAAGAGCTGAGGGACAGCGCCCAGGCCCAGAGTTCAGGCCTACGACTGGACCCCCCCCCCAAAAAAAAAAGAACTTCTGACATTTATGTATACCTCACATTGGTGTATCAGTTTTAGTCAATAGACTGCACTTTAGACCCCAATAGAGTTCACACTGGTTTAAAGGACAAAATGGAGTTACCCAGAAGTATTAGGAGACTCAGGCACAGGGGTGGATACAGGTGTTGAAATATTTTTAAGGACTGTCCCTAGCTCTTGCTGACCATTTTCTCAAGGTCTTTTCCTGAGAAATGTCATAAAACGTAGTCACTAAAATCTTCCTGCCTTCCAATTCTTTCCCCCAGCCCTCTCCTTCCTTCCTTCTTTCCCCTCCCCTATCTTCTCCTCCTTTTCCTCCCCTCCTCCTCACCCTAAGTGGAAAGAGTGAGATTCTGTCAGTATTCAGCCATATCACAGGGGACTGCTAGACTATAGATTGGATGCTCTTAGTGTGTCCATCTCTACCCCACCAGCTTCAGCTGGCAAAGGAAGTGGGGAGGGTTATGTGTCACTCACGTACGACACATGGCTGACAAAGATAGCCTCCTTCAATGGGGCTCATGGGAGTCTGGAAAATACCTTTAGAGGTATCACTGAGAGCAGTCCTGGACATGGCCATTTGGCGGTGGTGTCATGCAATGTTGTTGTTATTGTTGTGGTTTTAACTGAGCCAAAAGAGCTGAGTTTTATTGACAGAGGAATAAACGCAGAATTCTCACAAAGACAGCCCAGCTGAGCTCCTTGGTCTAGGGATTTTGTGAAAGCTTTGACATATTAGATGATCTGTCCTCCCCTTGCTGGTGGGCTAACTCTTTGCTAAGGGCCACCAGGCTAGTCATGAAACCTTTAAACCTGTTCTTTAAGATTGATTTATTTGAAATATAAGTCTTGACATCCTTATTTCCTTTTGATTATTAATTAATTAATTGATTTATTGTTGGTCATGGAGCTTGAACTCTGGGGCTGGGTCCTGTTCCTCAGCTCTTCAGCTCAACACAAGCACTCTACCACTTGAGCCACAGCACCACTTCCGGTTTTGTGGTGGTTAATTGGAGATAAGAGTGTCACAGACTTACTTGCCCCAGCTGGCTTTGAACCATGATCCTCAGATCTCAGCCTCCTAAGATTATAGGTGCCACCAGTGCCCAGTCTTTTTTTTATTATTTATTTATTTATATTGTTACTATGAAGATGATATACAGAGGAATTATAGTTCCATAAGTCAGAATTTTTTTTTAAACAATATCACCCTTCCCTTGCTCTCTCCCAGTTTTCCCCTCCTGTCCCCACCCACAAGTTGTATAGGTCATTTTCAACATAGTGTCTAGGGGCTGGGAAGGTGGCTCAGTGGTAGAGTGCTTGGCTTGCATGCCTGAGGCCCTGGGTTCGATTCCTCAGCACCACATAAGCAAAAAGAAAAAAGCCAGAAGTGGCGCCGTGGCTCAAGTGGAAGAGCACTAGCCTTGAGCTGAAGAGCTCAGGCCCCATGACCAGACCCTCCCCCCCCCCAAAAAAAAAGAAAAAAAAAGAAAAAACATAGTGCCTAGTAAGTATCACTGCTGCACTGGCTTACCCTTTGCCCCTCCATTTTTTTTTTATCATGGGGCTTGAACTCAAGAGGCTGGGTGCTGTCCCTGAGCTCTTTCACTCAAAGGTAGTGCTCTACCACTTTGAGTCACAGTTCCACTTTTAGGATTTTTATAACATCATGGAGTCTCCAACCTCCCTGTGACCTCCTCCTAATCTTGCCTAACCAGTTTTCCCTGGCAAAGTAGTTCTGGCTACTTCTTGATAGCTTGGGGCTTCAAATGTGACAATTAGTCAGGATATTCTCCAGAGCATTTATCTAGGGGTCCTGGAACTTTTGTTGGAGAAAGTCATTTTCATTACCATATACAGATTCATTTATTTTAGGCTAAGGAAACAAACTTGGTGAAAACATTAGCAATGTAAGTACCAATAAGGAGGTGGGGAATTTGTGCTTCTCTGCATTTATAGAAATCTGTAGAATCTATAGAAAACAGGCTAGGTACCAGTGGCTCATGCCTGTAATCCTAAGTACTCAGGAGCCTGAGATCTGAAGATTGTAGCTAGAAGTGAGCTTAGGCAGGAAAGTCTATGAGACTCTTATCTCCAATAAACTACTTTTTTAAAAAAGTTGGAAATTGAGGTGTGGCTCAAGTGGTAGAGTGTTATCTTTTAACAAAACTATCAGGTATCGGGGAGGGAAGGGTTACTGAAAGAACAATAAGGGAGAGGGGTAAGAATGCTCGACAAGAAATGTACTCATTCCCTTACTCCTGTAACTGTAACCACACTTTGGGTTTATCTCCTCTCAGCATCTTAACAATAAAATAATTTTTTTAAAAGAAAGAAATAAAAAAAATCAAGTATAGTGCCCAGGCCCTGACTTCAAGCCCCAGGACTGACACAAACATGAAAGAAAGGAAAGAAAGAAAAAAGGAAGGAAGGAAGGAAGGAAGGAAGGAGGGAAGAAAGAAAGAAAGAAGAAAGAAAGAAAAAGAAAGAAAGGAAAGAAAGAAAGAAAACAAAAGAAAGGCAGGGTGGCCTAGAAATGTGGCTTAGCGGTAGAATGCTTGCTAGCATGCATGAAGCCCTAGGTTCCATTCCTCAGTACCACATACACAGAAAAAGCCAAAAATGGCACTGTGGCTTAAGTGGTAGAGTACTAGCCTTGAGCACAAGCAGCTCAGGGACAGTGCCCAGGCCCTGAGTTCAAGCCCCAGGACTGGAAAAAAATATAGAAAAGAAAAAGAAAAGAAAGAAGGAAAGAAGAAGGGAGGAAGGAAGGAGGGAGGGAGGGAGGGAAAGAAGGAAGCAAGCAAGGAAGGAAGGAAGGAATGTGAGTGTATGTTTCTATCTAGATGGAGGGTAAACAGACTTTGGCATCAGGCATCACCACACTTTGGGTTTATCTCCTCTCAGCATCTAGATTGTAGCGATTTTAGAAAGGGAAACGGGGAAATATACAACTGAGGGGCCCATCAGCTGCACTGGACATTGATGGAAAGAACTAAGCAACTCAAGGGAGGGAATGAGAAGGAAAGAGGGAAGGGCTTACACTAAGTAAAAGGAAAGAAATGTACATATCACCCGAAGATATAGAAATAGTTGTATTGTCAAAGCTCATAGAATTCACAAACATTATAGACCATGATAATGACGGGGGG